TGCTAAACTTTTGTTTTGCTTTCCTCAGCTGGTCATCTCTTTTGCAAGTGACCACAAGCCCATGCATGGGCTACCTCAATTATGTCCTTTTCTTTTTAGATAACTTTTTAGCAACTCTAGTTAGCATTACAACCAAGAAGAAGAAGAAAAAAACGAAACATTTTACCACTTTGTTAAATGTTCCGAGTAATTCGTTTCTATTTTATTTGATTATATAAAAATTCTGCACATTTTCTCCCAGAAAAGTGAAAGTTTTTTGCAGAACAAAATTCCCCAGGACATAGACAGGGCTATGTAATAAAATACATATCCACTGAGTGCGAGCAGTTTACATAAAGTATTTAAAGAATTTTATTGTTTATGCACACAAAATAAAAATGGAGCACTCGAAAAGAGGGGTGCAAAAGGGGTTAGTGTTTATGCTTGTAAAAATGTTTGAAAGCCAAGTGGATACTTTCGGCTGAGTTTTAATGGGAAATCCAGAAATCAGTGGGAATCCATGGCTACCCATTGTCCCATCCGACTGTAAGTAACCTTTAAATCTGGAATGACTAATTTTTCTAAAATTTAGTATGGTAAAGGCCAATAGGTGGTACTCTTCGCATCATAATAATAGAAGATTCTATATTCACCTTAGATCATATCAGAGTCATATGAAAATGAATACATTTAGCATACTTTTAGGCACTCCCAGTCTTAAACTAGAAATAAGTGTTATATTATATAAAGCCTTAATTTGGTTTAAACATTTAGGGGAGTGTCTAAACGTATGCTATCAAAATATATATGTCATATGTGTCCTTAACGTGATGTGTAATCTGGTCTGGTTACTAAATAAGGCTGCAGTTTGGTACTTGCATATATAAAAACAAACAACCCTCCTCAAAGTATGCTCTCCATTTGATCTTTTCACCATTCAATGATTATCACTAAGTACCGCCTTCATATATATGCTATATTAATAGTATATTGTGCAATTTGTATCCTTGCCAAATGAATTTTCAGAAAACTGCACTAACCACGCTTACGTCATGAAACACATGTAATATTTTAAAAACTTAGCTGAAAACGGTTTCCTCAACATTTGTCGGCCTTCCAAATTTAAATTTAAATATTTTAAAGGTGTTCCTTATTGTCATTTTGGCCTCTCATTTTTCCAAAATTACCACCAAATTCCGTCTAATCCTTTTTGAATATCTCACTAGAATTTGAAATTTCCTCAATGCCATATAAACGAAATTTACTATTCTGTGTTATTTGAGTTTAACTCTTTATTCAACATCCCTCCTCTTGCCATCTCGGTAGATGGTTTAATATTTCAAAGCAATTAAAAACTTTCCATAAAATCCCACGTGAATATTTCAAATGCCCCTTTTGGCTGTGCTTTGGCTTCTGTGTTTCATCTCTCTACCTTCTCTCTGCCCCTCGATTGCCACTTCTAAATAATGAACGAGTGCTGGCGCGCTGATAGATAACTATTTGACATTGTTTGGCTTTGAGCTGTTTGAAATATTATTGTTGTTGGTTATTCATGCGTTGAGGTCGTGGTTCGGTATATGTGTAGGTGTAATTTCCTTCATCCATATAATTTTTATTATCCTTTGAAGGCAACCACTTGAATAGCGGATATAAAATCCCAGTGAAGATTTTGATTTCTACAAAGTAATTACGAAAAAAAAGGCACTTTAAAAGGCTGATTTGGTGGCATTCTTAGAAATCAAAATTCAAATGGAATGGAGAGTTATCTGAACAAGTTAAAAAGTATCAAGTTAAAAAGTATTGATGCCCGAAATTAAACGTTTACTCCAACATACGTTTTTGTATTCATAAAAGATGAAATTCATAAATTCAATACAACGCACGATTTTATTTAGACTCACTAAACTTAAGACAACTCTGAACCGCACCGGCCTGTAAAAATTTTACTCTCATCAAAACACACACGGAGAAAAAATAATTTGAGAAGTTTTGATTTGTTTTACGAGATCACTTTTATAATTAATTAAAGTAAATAAAAAAAACTCGAAATTAGTTAAATTTGTTTTTGTTTCTCAATTCTTTATTCAAAGCATACAAAATCACACGACCGAGTGATCTCTTGACAATAATAACAACTGATTGCTCTCATCATGGTTCTCTTTAAAACACACACGCACGTCGTAACCGCAAAAGTCATAAGCAAAAGAGCAACATTAGTTGCAATGTTATTGCAAGGCAATATGGTAAAATATTTTTGAAGATTTATGAAAAAATCACAGTTATTTTACAAATATATTTGTTGTAAACGATAAACACTATATTATTTTACACAATTCAAGCTTTTATTTGCTGTTTATAACTAAATATTGCCATAAATTTTACGAATAACGATAAACGAGCACAATTTGCGACCGACCACGACTTTATTACCGATGACAACTGAAGGAAGTGGCAAATGGAAGAAACAGTGTTGCCAATGACCAAAACCCAATAAATAGCCGGCAGAGAGACTTATAACAGCAACAACAACATGTTGCTCTCTTTAAAACACACACGCACAACGTTACGGCAAAAGTCATAAGCAAAAGAGCAACATTACCTGCAATGTCATTGCAAGGAAACAAAGTGAAACTGTTTTTGAAGATTTACCAAAGAAAACACATACTTTTAAGAAGTATTTTAGTAGTAAATTGTAAACATTATTTTATTTTACACTATTCCGACTTTTTTGGTAATTTAAAGATAATTATTTCCGTATATTTAACAACGAGTACACTTTGAGACCGACCACGACTTAAGTGCGATCGACAACTAAAGGAAGTGACAAATGGGAGAAACAATGTTATCAATATCCAATAAGTATTGGGATGGGATGGGCTAATTTTGAAAATAATCGAATGCTCAATTCTCGTTTTTAAGCGAAGGTACCAGAAGGACTGGCCTACATATGTATGTCATCTTCGCATCAGATTATGTGTTGATAGAAATATTGTGATGTGTGAAACTTGAAGAGAATCGGATGCTTATTTCGAAAATAATAAGAGATATAAGAGTCAAAAATTTGACCCCTTGTGGGTCAAGATCTTTTATTAGTTGAAGTACTGTGATGTACATACATTGAAGAGAAATGGGTGCTTTTTCGCATTTTATTATTCCAAGTGTTGACCCTTTTTGTAGGAGGTACATGTGGGAGTGGACTGATATTGTCCATTTTCGTTTACACAAAATTGGATGATCCTTACTTGTTCTATACGTAAATTATTTTCTGTGCTAATTTTTTGTAGAGGAGGTACCAGAAGGAGTGGACCGATGTTGCCCATCTCCGAATTGACAATAGTATTACAATGTTCCAGGTTTGGATCAAATCGGATACTCCCCCCTTCGAGAGATATCGTGCACATAGACCAGCCAGACAGACGGACGGACATCCCTAGATCAACTCCAAATTTCCTGAAACGGATTTGATCCAAAGAGACCGAGGGTCTAAAACCGTTATTCCGATGAGGCACGTCTTGGCCGTATCAAATTATATATACCCTCTGTAGCCATATTTTGAAGGTTTCAGTCTCGATTCTTATTTGAATTAGCCCTTACTTTGAATTTAATGTTCTCAATAAAAGAATCGCTCGATTCCGGTCCACTTTCTGACAAATGCTCTATCTAGAGGTACTGTAGCGTTTGCGATGTTCAAAGAGACCTAGGATCTTAAACCGTTATTCCATTGAGTCACGTCTTGGCCGTGTCAAACAATATATACCCTCTATGGTCATATTTTGGAGGTTTCAGCCTAGATTCTCATTTGAAATAGCCCTTTACTTTGAATTTTATGTTTAAAAAAATATCGCTCAATATCGGTCCCCGTTTTGACCAAAGCCCTACATAGCGGTACCGTATCGTTATTCAGCAGTTTCAAACTTTCAAATTGGCAACTTTTTCCACATCTCTCTTTAAGAAGTCTCTCCCTCAAGATAAATTAAAACAATTTCCTAATAACTTTTGCAAATTGTTTTATTTCAAAGAAACCATCTGCTCAGGAAAATGTCTTCGAAACTTGAAGTAAATCACCTAGTCAACAATTTTTCCAACTTTGACACCATTAGAAATTTGTCATGTCAGCACTGGGCTTAGCTCGGCAGATGTGCGTTTGTTTTATTTCTAAAAATAAAAACTGCCTGAGATAAGCACAAAAAGTTAAAAATACAATATGTCATGGAAGCGGAGGATTTACATACACATAAAAACCAAAGTTTAAAAATAGCAATTGTAAAGGAGAACACCTCAAGCATCCTTCTTTTATTACCATTTTGAAGGAATAACTCAGGAACATCTCCCTTCAGTCATCTTTTTATTTTCATTTTAAATAAATAACTCTTTCACTGACGTCTTTTCTCTCTCCGACTACCATAGTCATATCTTGTGATTCTTGATGAATAAATTAAAAAAGTATTTTGTATTTGAAAATGACATCTTGTTAACGCCATATTGTGAGAGCGTTGTTTTTTTATTCCTCGCAAAGCAGGCCCATATGAAAAATAAATATCCTGCGACGACGTCATACAACCGTTAAGTTGTTTACTACGCCATGTATCGCTAGAAGAACACCCCCGTTATTCAAAATCATCAACACCAAACGCGGAATGGGAGGAGGGATTTTCCGTTATTCCTCCTTCAAAGAAAATGTCACGTAAATTGTCATAACCGAATGTGTCTGTGTGTGGCGATGAATAGGCATGTGGGAGGTAAAGGTGATGACAGTGGCGGTGGTATTAAGACATTGTTGTTGGTCGATTTTGTATGGCAGAGGAAAATATGATAAATAACTTTTGATAAAAAAAATATGCCATAACATATGGTGTTATGTTCGATTGTTTACCAAAAACCGTTAGGGGTGGGAAAGTGGGTGGAAAGCCTAATATGATAAAGTTTCGTACAAAACATATTAAATTTTTAAGAGATAATATTTCGTCGAAATATAAAACCCGGGGAAAAAAAGGATGGGTATTGAAATTTATTTGACTTACCTGTAAATTTGGTGGACAATGATCCAGTAATTCTAGCATGTGTTTGATATTTTGTGCATCTTGTATGACAAAATTTAATTCCATATCAAATTCACCGCCAACCAGCTGAAATGAAAAAAAAAAAAAAAAAACAAACAGGGAAATATTAGAAAAAAATGTATTTTTAATGGAGGGGGGTAGAAAAATGTTTTAATTGGATTATAAAACAGGCTAGAAGACAGCTAAATATTTATTGCTTTAAGAACCAAGGCTTGTCGGATAATGATAGGCCAGCCTTATAGTTTATCCTTTGTTCTAAATGACGCTTTTGTTCAACCATAAACTATATAATTAGTTGTTGCAAAATAGTTAGGCTTAATACCATTATTGTTGTTTTTATAAAAATAACGTTTGTTTATAGTGGAGAACGATGGTAATGTTTGAGAGGCAGCAAGGCAAGAAATACCTAAGTTTCGAAAAGAGCCACCAATCATCATCAGTTCCCCTGTTATTTTGTCTGGGATATTTTCCCCAGTAGTTATTTTAAAATGTTGTTCTGTTATTTTAAAAGCTGTTCTGTCATGATTACATATTATACTAGCACATGTCCGCTACTTAGTCAGCGAAAAATCCACCCTCACATTTTAGATTCGTTCCAACAGTTCGAGTTAGGACTTTTTAGTACTCAAATTTTACAATTTCTTCAGTTTGACAAAATTTTGTAATCAAATCTTCATACATCGTATTAATATTTTTTTAATATTTTTTCATCAAAAAGTCTTCAAACCCTTTAAATTTGGAGATTACAGAGAAGTACATTAGTAAAATCATTGCACAACGGACCCACATACAATTTTTCTGTTATTACAAGGTATCCATATGTAAACCCTAGAAATCAAGAGCGACCTCAATTTCAAATATCAGAAGTCCAGTTCAATCCTTTAACCAATATCAAATTTAGTTGCATTAAATACGCTTACCTCACTTAGACCTCAATATCAAATTTCGAGATTCCTGCATTTTCTAAACCTTCTCCTCATTCCAGATACCAAGAGAGACCTAAATATCAAATTTGAGGATTCCAGCCCTACCCTTTCCAATGCGATATTTTCAAAACTCCACTAGATCTCAATCCCAGGTACCAACAGAGACTTAAATATGACATTTGAGGATTTCAGCCAACTTTAGTACTATTTAGTACTTTTCGTACAATTTAGTATTCGTTTCCAAAACCATCTCCATATGGTATGATTATAACACAAATTTTCGAAACCACCTCCATACAGGGTGAGAAGAAAAAACTGTAACCAATTTCAGACTGCGGTATTTTCCAAGCCACTCGTCCGACAGCTGTTAAAAAAATTCCAGTGACAGCTCATATAAAAGCATTGAGCGCGAGTGAGAATTTTCCAGAAAAAAGTTATTCGTGATGGAATTCAAGCGTGATAGTGTAGATAGATTTCTTTATATTTGGCTGGAAAACCACAACTGACTGTCGTTAGACACTCCACTACAGCATTTAACTGTGAATACATCTTTTGTGTCTCGTACAATCGTTCGTTACAGTGATACTGGTAGCGTAGCCCGAAGTCAAGGAAGTGGACGGAAGAAAAAAGCAACAACAGCAGAAATGTTTCGAAATGTAAGGAAGCGACTTGGTCGAAACCCGCGTGCCGTGGACGAAAAATGACTCGTGAGCTGAATATATCGGAACTCAAGTCCCGCCATGGTGTGGGCCGCCATAACAGCCGATGATCGCACTCCGCTCAATTTAATCGACCGTGACATCGGAATAAATGCCAAATATTTTCGCCAAAATATTTTGGAGGGTGTATTAATGCCTTGGGCACGCAAACATTTTGGCCACAGACCTTGGACATTCCAACAGGACTCAGCACAATCGAGTCAGCAAGAATGGTTACAAAATGAGATTCCTCTCTTCATTTCTAGCGCACAATGACCACCAAAATCTCCGGATACCAATCCGTTGGACTATTGTGTTTGGAGTATTTTGGAAAGCAATGTTGGCACTAAAAGTGCCGGGAATAGGCCAAAATACTGCAGAGCAACATTCGGGCAGCGTGTGACGGTTTCATTGGCCGTTTGAAGGTCATAATTCGTGCCAAGGGTGACCAATTCGAACAAATCTAAACTTATTCTCAAATTTGATTCTATTTCCGACTTTTTATGCTTTCATTTAATAAAGATGTTAAAACTATGGCGTTTGACTTTGTTGCAGTTTTTTATCTCACCCTGTATTTCTAGGCTACACATGAACAGCGACCCTAATAACAAATTTCAGATTTGAAACACTATATTTTCACCAAATACCTAATAGTACCAAATGTAGTACTAATTTGTACTTTCCTTGCACTTGTAGTACACATTTCCAAAATCACCTCCACATCTCAATCCCAGATACCAATATAATCTCAATATCAAATTTCAGGATTTCAGTTATAATTATCCTAAACCAAACAGTTCCAAATTTAGTACCATTTAGTACAGATCGGGAAAACAATTCCTAAACCACCTTCATATATCAAACTTACTTTCCAACCTTGAATCTCGTACTGAATTTCAAGTTTTTAGCTCTACCAGTCCACATGATACCAAATGGTACCATTTTAGATATTTAGTACAATTTTAGAACTTTTCGTTTAAAAATTCCAAAAACGCTTTTGTACAACTATCCTGCATTCCATCAATGACTCTCAGTCGAAATTTCTGAATTCAAAATTATTCCGTACATTTTAGTACTTTTGTACCCAGTAATATTCTCGGCAAAATTTCAAGATTCCAGCTTCAGCGGTTTCGACAAGGCTTTGATTCTCAGTCAGTCAGTTATTTCATTATTATTATAATTATATTATTATAATTATATTATTATAATTATATTATTATAATTATATTATATAATATAGAACCATCACCTTAATTACTTATCTGAGTCCCTTAAAACTCAATTTTTTTGCATTTTTCTACAATTTTAAATTTCCCACACACCCATTACCTTATCTTCAACATACATTCATAAAAATACCATTTACAAGTCATTTTATGATATTATATTTTATTTGGTCATAAAAAGCATTTACCCAAAGGACATCATTTTTTTAAATGTCATGACAATGCATACTCAGTAGATTTTTTTTTGTTTCCAATTTATATCATTATTACCCACACAAACTCACATACTCTCTTGTATACCTTAATTTTGATATGAAATAATAAAAATGAATTGCGACATTCCCGGTTTTTTTTTGCAAACTCATTGGCGAACAATTTTCCCAGGCATTCCAGTGCGAGAGCAAAAAAAAATGCAAACAGAATAATATTTGACATGTAATCGATGTCACAGACAATGACAATGTCATTAATTTTCATGTGAAGTATAACATTTTATTTTATTTTGAAATTAATAAATGCTGATAATGATTTTAATAGGCATTTAATAATATTTCATTTTTTTTTTTCATAATAATTATGTATGGCAAATAGAGTGTTGAGATTTAAGTGGCATGTGTCTCAGATAAAATAATAGTTATAAAAGTGATAGGTTAAGTCTCTTTACACAGAAATAGATTGAAAATAGTCTGCACAATGGTCATTTTCTGTAACAATAATCGGAAATCAATGGCAACAAATTACCGTGTCGTGACATCTTCGTCAAAGGATCCAGATTTCAATATTTAATATTCTTTCATCTCGACAAGAATCAGCCGAAGAACGTTGCGTTTTCATATGAGAGGTAATGATGTCGAAAGAATACATATAAATGATTTTACAAAGTTTGGCCTGAGAACCCCATACTCCTTTTGGGGTTTTGATCTATAAAAGAGTATTAGTATATCCATTTAGAGTTTTCAACATCCCCGAATGGCTATTTTGCAGTGGAATTAAAAGAAAAATTGCAGAAAATTTGGGAAAAGTTTTTTTTTTTTTTAAATAAGGTGTTTTTTATTAAAAAAAAGAATATCCTTTTTTTGTGGTACATATTGAGTATGCAAAATTCTTTTGTTCAGAGACTCACAATAAAATTTGATCTAGAATAATTCTTCATTTGACACTTTCCCCAAAAAATAAAGTATAAAGGGAGATTTTCACTAGGATTGGAAACATGCTAAATTAACAGCAGAAACAGCAAACGCATAATTGTCACTTTTAGTACATATGTTTTGAATGTAATATTCATAAAAAACTATTGTATCTAGACTTATGGTTTATTTCGAGATTTATACTGAAATTTTGTGTAGAATATTACTTCTTTTGGGACCTTTCGCCTAAAACGAAATTTAATGGTACTTTCAGGGGTCAAATCGAAAAAAGTCTGACGAAAAATTGGTTAGAAAAATAAGATAAAAAGTAGTTAGCAAAGAACGAAGTATTTCACTCCATCTAATGCTGATAAAAATATTGGGACACATTTCTTTAAGAATAATTGATAGTCGGAAGGTTATGTTCTAAAGGATATAAGACATTTTTCAAAATTTTGACCATTTGTGGGGAAGGTACCAAAAGGGTCGATATTCAGTCGACAGGAATCACTGTCTTGTTTCGTATGTTATGAGAGCTATAATTATTCAAAATTTGGATCGGTTGTGGGGGTGGTACAAGAAGAAGTGGCCTGATATATCTCATCTTCCACAAGATTTTGGGTTGATAGTATTAATCGACCGTGGGTGGCATCAGAATAAATGAGGAATATTATCGCAAAAGTATTCTGGAGGGTGTATTAAAGCCTTGGGTACGAAAACATTTTGGCCTTAGACCTTGGACATTTCAACAGGACTCAGCACTCGTCATCCATGAATTGTTACAAAATGAGGTTCCTCGCTTCATTTCCAGCGCACAACGGCCACCAAAATCTCCGGATACCAATCCGTTGGATTATTGTGTCTGGAGTATTTTAGGAAGCAAGGTTGGCACTAAAAATTACCAAAGTGTCGATCACCTCAAGCAAGTGCTTCACCGGGAACGGACCAAAATACCGCAGAGCAACATTCGGACAGCATGTGACGGTTTCATTAGCCGTTTGAAGGCCATAATTCGTACCAAAGGTGACCAATTCGAATTAATCTTAACTTATTGTCAAATTTGATGCTATTTCAGAAAGTTTTTGCTTC